AGAGTCTATTTGAGCCCAAGAAGGCTCATTATCCAGTCAGGGAAACAGGCAGAGAAAGAACCAAAGATAAGTGAAGTTGCAAAGTTCGGTGGGAATCCGGAAGTTAGAAAGATTGCTCCTATTGTGGGAGGGGGTGGCGGGGCATGTGAGCTAGATCTACACGATGAACAGAAATGTATCTGGGGAGATGGAGAGAAAGGACTGTGGGCACTAGTGCCAGCCTGAGCAAAGGCACGGTGACATGACTCTCCACGGTGTGACCCAAGATTATTGAGTAAAGGCAGCAAGTATCAGCAGTTGAGCAGGGTTTCTAACCTTGTCTGCAGCCCAGGGGTTCAAGGATACGCTTAGGGGGACCCACAAACCTCCTGAAGTTGTATCACAATTGTGAGTAGACGTGTGTCACTCTTTTTTTAAAAAAAATTATTTATTTATTTTTACTTTTGGCTGCTTCGGGTCTTAGTTGCAAGGGATCTTTGTTGTGGCATGCTGGATCTTTCGTTGCGGCACGCTGGCTTCTCTCTAGTTGTGGTGCATGGGCTCTGCAGTTGTGGCGCGCAGGCTTAGTTGCCCCGCGGCATGTGGGATCTCAGTTCCCTGGTCAGGGATCGAACCCACGTCCCCTGCATCGGAAGGTGGATTCTTTACCACTGGACCACCAGGGAAGTCCCCTTGCATTACTCTTTTCTGGAGAGACAATTTTATCTTCATCAGATTCTTAAGTTGGGGGACATTGACTCGAAAAAGCCTTGGGTAGCAGATGGGCTTGGAGAGGTCTGTAGGGCCTGGGAATAAAGGACCTCATAGGACTTCTTTCAGGAATTCATACTTTGCTCTGAGGTCATCAGCAGCCCATGGGGACCAACATGGGACAGGCCTCAGGAAGATAACACAGGCTACTATGAGCTCAAGTCAAAGTCCTTTTATAACCGATAAAGGGACGTACTGTTTATTGCTCTATTCCCAGAGTCTGGCACAGTGCTGAACACATATTGGGGGCTCAGTAAATAGTTGCTGAATGAATAAGAGCACAGGAGTATGTAATAACAGAGTTCATCTCTCCAGGGCAACTCCACAAATTCCCTGGACAATTTGACTGAAGGTGAAATCCAGGAATCCAAAGTTCCCCCTGCACTGTTCTAGGTTCTAAGACAATACTGCCTGAGTCCTGAGTTGTGGGTAGAGGTGGGAAGGGAGAGTGGGCGTGGCACGTGAGGGTGTGGCCGCACCTGACTGAAGGGTAGGGCTCCTCCCACCCTTCAGTGCCGGCCGAAATGATTTCTTTCCTCCTTTCACATTCAGCCCATCGGCTTGTGCTGTTGACTCTGTCTCCAAAACGTGTCCTCCATCCCCCCTCCTCCCCCTGCACCTCACCTGGGCCCCTGCAGCAGTCTCAAATCTAGCATCTCTGCTTCTGACCCTGCCTCTTCACCATATCCACTCTCCTTGTGTTGGCCAGAGGAATCTTTTATTTCTTTTGGCTGCACCGAGGGCTTGCGGGATCTTAGTTCCCCAACCAGGGATTAAACCCGGGCCACGGCAGGGAAATCCCAATCACTAGGCCACCGGGGAACTCCCCAGAGGAATCTTTTAAAACACTTTGCAAGGAATGTGGTTTTCTTTCCATGTACTTAGAGAGCTATGCTTCCAAAAATTTAAAATACATTCAAGTTACGTGGAGATCTTGCTAAAATCCAGGTTGCGATTCAATTGATATGGGGTGGGGCTTGAGACTGCATTTCTAACAAGTTCCCGGGCGACGCAGCAATCTTGGACCACATTAGGACTAACAAAGACTTAGAGAAAAATCCAAACTTCCTGTCCACGTCCTAATTTATCTGGCCTCTGCCCAGCATTCCCACGTCATCTCCAACCCCTGTTTTTTCTCTTGCATCACGCTGTAGCAACACCGGCCGGCCTTCATTCTGTTCCTGGAGTGTGCCAACTTGCTCCTGCCTCAGGGCCTTTGCACGTGGTGTTCCCATTGCCTAGAATGCCCCTTTCCGAGAGCTCCAGATGGCCGGCTCCTTTTCTTTATTTAGATCTTAGTTCAATGATCAGTTAGACAGTCCTTCTTGGACCACTTCATCTAATGAAGCACCTCATCCCCTGGGAATTTGCTATCACTATTTGCTCTTCTCCCCCTTCACGGCACTTATCATTCTGTGAATTTATTTTGGCAATATATTTGTATTGCTACCTGTTAACTTGTTAGTCACCTGTCTTCATTCTCACATTTGTTTCACGCGAATAAAAACTTGGTTTCTCATGTTTGTGGGTCTATTCATGAATGTGCTTGTATGGCTGCTGGGGTGTTGAGATGCAGGTAGGGGAGTCCAAGCTGGGGAAACTTACAGTGATGCTAACGGAGGTGCCTGAAGCAGAGGGGAGGGAGGAGGGAAGAGGCGAACTTTCTATACTGAGGGTGTCACAGAAAAAGTCTCAAGAGCTGACGCCAAACCTAAGAATCATCACCTGAGAGATGAAGTCATCTCACTAGAGGAGACTCACTCTGGAAGGTGGGGAAGGAATTTATGATGAACTTATTGACTGAATAAATAAAAATAAGTATGTGGAACCCTTACTTTGTGACCATCATTTGCATAACTACCTCTGTTCATCCTCACAACGTATGATCTCCGTCTTGCAAATGAGGACCAGGGCTATGAGTTAGCAGACTTGCCCAAGGTCATACAGTGATTCAGAGACCACGCTGAGAACCCCAGTCTCTAAAACAGCTCTGAAACGTCACCCTCCCGGTCCCCTTCCAGGCTTTATGCTGTGCACAGCACCTGTTACCACCTAACCCACTGTGCATTCTCTTTATTTATTTTCTGTCTTCTCACACCAGAATATAAATTCCTGGAGGGTAAGGATCTTTGTTTTGTTCACTACTGTTTCCCAGAGCTCGAAACAGGGCCTGCCACTCAAGTAGACACTTAATGAATACTTACGGGATGTTAAAAGGATGAACGAAGGGATTATTTTAAAATCCTCGCTTTCTGTATCTCTAAGAGGCAGTTCTGTGAACGGGTGGCCCACCCAAACCCAGTTGAGAAGGCTGGAGTGCATCTGAGATGAAGTGGGAAGGCAAGCTGCAGCTTACTGAATGCTCTCCACCAACCAGAAGGAAGACTCTGTCCACAGAAGAGGGACCGGCTGCATGCCCTGGCGGGAGAGTAGCCAGGGATCTGGGGCTTGTCCAGTCTCCAGCCCTGACACCATTGCCGTAACGGCATGGGTAGGTGTGGATGCCACAGGCTGGCAGTGGCCCTTCGCAGGATATGGCTTCCACGTAAAGTGGCCCTGCAGAAAAATGTGTTGACCAGGCCCCAGTTACAAGCTTGCCGTAACTGCAGAGTAGGCGTCTAGCAGGAAATCTCTTGTGAATTGAATAGAGTGAGCCGGTCTCTCAAGCCTGGCGGCCCTGGCTGCTGAACAAACAGAGGTTCTGAACCAACCAGGCTGCAGCCTCGTTATGGATGGTCCCTCGAGATAGTTCTCCTGTTCTGTGACCTCTCTCTGTGCCAAAGATTCTCAAAGTTCAGCCCCCAGACCAGCAGCATCAGCATCACCTGAGAACCTGTTAGAATGCAAATTCTCCAGCCTCATCCTCAACCTACTGAGTGGGAACCTCTGTGAGTGGGGTTCATCATTCCGTGGATGAACAAGCCCTCCAGGAGATTTTGATCCACTCTCAAGTTTGAGAGCCACTGTTACACAGTTTCTCTTTCAGGGCATAGGACCTGTCTTAAGAACTCATGAATTGGATTGCACAGCTTTATGGAGCCCCTGCTGTGTGCCATGCTCTGTATTTGGCTCTGTGAAGAGGATACCAAGATAAATTAGCCAGCCGCTTCTGCAGCCAAGGGGCTTAGGAGAGAGATTTCTTCTGGTTGGCAGATGTTGGAAGTATGGATGTGTGGGACCTTTGATCAGAGTCTTGTCTATTCAGTTTAGGCAGATAATAGAGCTCAGGGGAAGTGGCAGGAGGTGGGAGGGGAGGGTGAGGGATGGGGTGGGGATGGAATGCTGAGTTAGGAGGCACAAAAAGGCACAGACAACTACCAGTCCAGGAGCAGTATTTCGCCCATGCCCACTGCTCAGGTGTGGAGGCATGCTTAGGAGGTCTGAGGTTGAATAGTAACAATTGCTAACATTTTACCTAGCGCCTACACGTGGCAGTAATCAATCTAGGTGCTGTACACGCATTAACTCATTCTTCACGTGAACCCTATCAGATAGGTACTATTATCACCCCATTTTGACTGATGGGGAAACTCAGACACTCAGAGGTGAGCCAACTTTGCCTAAAGTCACAGCTAGGCAGTGGTAGAGACTGTTTGAACCCGTCTAGAGCGCTCCCAAACGCACGACAAATCAAGGGGTCACCCCAAGCGTCTGGGCTGGCCTGCTAGGTTGAGGTGGCGGAGGGATGGGACCCTTATATTGGTGGGTAAATAGCATCTAGAAGAAAGCCCTACGTCTTTCCAAGCCTGTGCCTTTCCTCTGGCGTAGACAATCGGGAGTCCAGTAATTTGCGAACCACCTACAGGACAAGTACCTTAGGCCCCTTCCCACTAGATGGCGGCCCCTAAATCCACACAGTAATTCTGAAACCTCCACTGTCTCTGTCTTCCAGGGTTCCGCTGCGGTCGAGGAATTGCAGGAGGCGAAACTCCCTCCCGTCCAACGGGCCGCCGGCTCCTACCTCGCCCCATCCGGGGGGTCGCGGGAAGTCCCCAGCCCGGAGGAGGGATGGGGAGGAGGCGGGGGTGGGCGGGGAGATGCGGCTCCCCAGGCTTCGGGCGCCGGGGGAGGAGCTGGCGCGGAGCAGCCACTGCCGGGGCGCAGAGGCGGGGCGCTCCCGCACAGCCTGTGCCCACAGCGGAAGGGAAGGCCGGGACCTAGGGTCGCTTGAGCCGGCGGGGACCCCGAGGGCGCGGGCGGCGGCAGGTGCGCGGCGCGGACTACAAGTCCCAGCATGCCCAGCTGCTCTGACCCAGCCCCCGCTGCCACTTAAAGGCTCCCGGAGCCTCAGCCGTCGGGTCGCCGCGGCTTTCGCTTTGCCGCCGCGGCTGGGCGGGAGGGAGAGGCGGGCTCGGCGGCCGGCGGGCTTGCGTCCTGGCTCCGGCAGCGTCGAGGGGCGCTCCTCGGCCAGCCCTCCCGGCTAAGGGATTCCCTTCCGAGGCGCCCGCGCCCCCGGGCTCCCCGCCTCGGCCACCCCGCGGCCCCGATGCCGAGGCATGGATAGAGCGGCGCTGCGCGCGGCGGCGATGGGGGAGAAGAAGGAGGGCGGCGGCGGGGGGGACGCGGCGGCCCCAGATGGGGGCGCCGGGGCCGCGGCCAGCCGGGCGCTGCAGCAGTGCGGGCAGCTCCAGAAGCTCATCGACATCTCCATCGGTAGCCTGCGCGGGCTGCGCACGAAGTGCGCCGTGTCCAACGACCTCACCCAGCAGGAGATACGGACCCTGGAGGTAAGGGGCCGCGGCGCCGGAGAAACGGGGGCCCGCGCTGGGTCTGAGGAGGCAGGGGTCGGCAGCCCGGGAAGCGCCCCAGCGCCTCCCTCGCTGCTCCAGGTCACTCCTTCCTCAGTTGCATCCTTAAGCCCGGTCACCTCCTTTGCGTCGGCCGGAGGACCCGGGACCAGCCCCTCACCTTGGGCGGGATTTGGGGGGAGGGGCGTAGTGGGACCTGGGAGGGAGGCTGGAGGAGCCCGCGGGCGGGATGGGCGGCGCACGGACATCCCCTGCCGCCCCCCCTCCGCCCCCACCCCATTTCTAGCTCGCTCGGCCGCAGGACTCATTCTCCCACTGAGTCACGTGCTGGACTTTTCCCTGGGTGACTGAGCCCAGCAGCTGTGGGCCGGGGTGACTGGGCGGGAGGAGGTCCCCCTGAAGTGTGAGCGCAGGCCCGTCGTTCTCTGCCTTACCCTCACGCCCCAGACTTTGTCTGTCTCTTCCTTTGCTCTTCTCCAGGTTCTTGTCTGCCGCTTATCAGTGTTTGATGAAACTGCATTTTTGCCTTTCAGACGTTGGGTGCTTCTCTTTCGCACTGCCACAGCATTTCACTGCTCTACCCACCGACACCCCCCCGCCCCCCGCCCCCCCCACCCCCCCACCCCCCGCTATTGGACTTTGGTTTAGGAACAATTATGCTGAGGACCAAAGGCTTTGATGGGAAGATGACACTATTTAAGGGGTTTTCTGGTGGAGACAGCCTCCAGTGTAAAGAAGAAATAAGATGCAGGCCTTACTGTCTCAAATTATAGCTGGGAAGTGCAGTATTAAAAGGATTTGAAAGAATCAACCAAAAGCGTTGTTGGGTTCTCAGAAGGGGGAGTCTCCCCCTCCCCCATACATAATAGAGGGAAACTAGTGCATTCCCAACTTGCTTTTGTCCAGAGGCTGGGAAGACTGTGAAATTCCAGGCACCACGTAGTAGCTGCTCTGCCTCTTTCCACCTTGCACTGACACATCTGGCCTGCTGCACATCTGGAGATGTTTTGTTTTATTAGAACCTGAACTCCTCATCCTACACCCTCCACACCCTCTTATTGCTGATTGCCTCTGCTAGCAATCATAGGGCCAGCGGGTGATTTGTGGCAGTCATTACAAGACCCAGTCCTCTGTGCACACCACAAGCCTGAATCCCTGTTTGATCCAAAATGCTCGAGAGTGACTTCTTTTTTATTAATTAATTTATTTTTGGCTGTGTTGGGTCCTCATTGCTGCGCGCGGGCTTTCTCTAGTTGTGGCGAGCGGGGGCTACTCTTCGGGCTTCGCATTGCAGTAGCTTCTCTTGTTGGGGAGCACGGGCTCTAGGCGCACGGGCTTCAGTAGTTGTGACTTGTGGGCTCTAGAGCGCAGGCTCAGTAGTTCTGACACACGGGCTTAGTTACTCTGCGGGATGTGGGATCTTCCTGGACCAGGTCTCGAACCCATGTCCCCTGCATTGGCAGGTGGATTCTTAGCCACTGCGCCATCAGGGAAGTCCCCTTGGGAGTGACTTCTGTCCTTCAGTTTTATTTTCTTAAAAGCTACAAAACCAGGGACATGGGAAGCATCTAATCAGCGCTGGTTATTATTATTTTTGTTACAGTCGCTATAGCCGTTTCGACCAGGGTTTTACTTAAAAAACCAACCAACCAGCAACCCCCCGTCCCCGCCCCCCCCACCCCAGTCCCTCCTGCATGCATGCTGCTGTTTTCCAAGCGGCGAGAGAAACTGGTTTCTTGAACATAGCCGGGTGTGTTTGCCCAGCTAAGTTCAGTTTTTAAACTGACACAATATGGGGCCTGTGTGGCTTCGTTCTGGGAGGGGGGGTCGTTGTCCTGCAGCATGTGTCTTGTTGGACGCTATGTTGTTGGGATGATAGGACGTTCTCTGTTGGCCTCTCTTGGATTCTCCCCGCGTCGCTCTGAAGTGCTCTTGGTTTGCAGATTGGACCCGGGAGAAAAAGTGTGGCTCTTTCTCTGGAAATGGCGCCTTGCCTTCTCTGTACCCTGCCTTCCAAAGTCTCTCATTTTTACCAAGGTGTGGCATCAGGACACTCCAGAGCATCCCCTTATTTAGGTCTCTGACCTGGTTTATTTGGTAGCCTCCCTTCTGAGTGTTTACTGGATGATTGGCTCTGGTCGCCAGAAACCCATCCAAAGGTCCAAAGGGGATTTGCAGTGGGAACGGGAACGAGTACCCAGCTCCCTGTCCTCTCCACTCTGCTGTAGGTTCGGGTCCACCCTACTCCCTGAAAAGGCAGGACCTGGGCTGTTTGGGGGAATGGGACTTTATACCCCAGGATCTAGTTCCCTAGGCCTCAGCCTCCTTACTTGAACAAGGGGGTTGGAGTGGGTCTCTGCGGGCTCTCGTGGCTCTAAATTCTGTGGTTTAGTGAAGGGGCCTCAGTTGGGTTGAATCAGATGTTTGTTATGCACGCCACTGTGTAAGAATATCCATGATTAAGAATTGTTCTAAAATCCAGATTTACCAGACTGATAAAATAGGGGGAAAGTTTATTACTCAAAGAATCCTGACCTTTGGGGCAGTGTGGCAGGCGGAAAGCCCATGGCTTGGAAATCTGGTCCTGGTTCTATCTGTCTGACCTTGGTCAAGTCCCATGACTTCTGAATCTCAGGCTTTCCCATCTGTAAAATGGGCATGAGTCTACTTAAACCTGCAACCTTGTCGTGAGTCTGTAAGTCCGCATGCTTTCTACCAAGAGATTCTGCCCGTGAACTTTCCTCCTGAGGGTCCAATGCATTCATGCCACAGGCCACATTTAGGGGAAGGCACTTTGACACCTTGCTCTTATTTCCTAGAGGTGGGTGAGACAGGCCAGGAACCAATCCCAGCAGCCTGTGCTGAGGTCAGGCAGGGTAGTGGTGATGTCCATTCTGGCTTTCTTTCCTGTTCTGCAGGCTCCTCTCACATTCCAGGCCAGGGCCCCCAGAGACAGGACTTGCAACATTCGATTCCTGGCTTTTGAAGAAGGGGCTGACCAGAGGGCTTGGCTTACGCAAGCACGCCAGACTTACAGAATCTGAGGAACTCCAGCCCACCCTGGTCCTCATTGAGTAAGCCCTCAGTGAGGTGCCTCGGGAAGTCCCAGACCTCCGGCCCCACTGCTGGTGCCTGATTGTAGGTCGGATCATGTCTGGGGGTCAGCGTGTCCGGCTGCCCCTCCCTCCTCCACGCAGTGGTCCAGCTTGGATCCAAAAGAGTGGAAGGAGCCAGGGTGTAATGTCTGCCTCCCACCTGCCGGTCAGTGTGCTGGACCCTTCTCAGTCCCCGAAGATTTCCTGGAAATCCACCAACCTTCATCACACATGTATTTTTTTCTCTCGACATGAGAAGCGGAGGGGGTTAAAATCTGAACCCAGGGTCTGAATCTGTAAACAGAAGTTGGGAGGCCACTGCATCCCAGCAGAACCTGCTGCCCTATCTCCATCAGGCCCTGAGAACTCCACCGAGGCACGGTGGAATGTTCTCGCTCCCCAGATGTGCTCACACAGGGATACCCGGCTGGCCTCAAAGCTGGGCCTGGAGCCCCACGCCAGTTCATTCCCTCATTTGTGCATCCTCTTGGGGCCGAGTCTGTGCCGGGCAGTGGGGAGATAGTGGTGCCTCACGAAGATGCACGTTTTGTGGGCACTGTAACTTTGCCTTATCCTGCCAGCCTCCTGGTACTTTCCAGAGACAGGCCTTGGCACACCGAGGCTTCCCATCTGGTGCTCTTATGGAGAAAAGTCCCTCCTAAGCAAGCTGACCTAGAGAAAGGGGTCCCCAAAGGGCCTCGACCTTTGCTCAGCTCTGCTGTGGCAGAGGTCAGAGCCCTGTGGTGTGGAGGGCCTGAGCTCTCCCTGTGGTCCTCTCCCCTGCCCCTCGGAGCACCTGGATGGTGGAAGTGCTGGGAGAGGAGAGGGGTGCCATGGGTGCTTACAGAGCAAGTACTCGGGGCGTGTGTGGACGTGCATTCACTCAACAAACCTGCAGTTATTACTGATTTGCCTGATGAGCTGCTCACTGCCACCACCCTGGCAAGGATTCTGAGGTAGGTAGGATGCTTTCCTGGTGTTTGGGGATGCTTTCAGTCCAATGGGGGAGGCAGACAGGCAAACAGTAGTGACTCCAGCACCACGGCCTGCTGAGAGCGGTTTGGAATTGGGAATGTGACCGGACGGTTGTCCAGTCCAACTCCTGCTTTTCTGGGAAATACTCCCAGAGTCTTGCTGGCGACTTGTCCCACGTCACACGCCCCTGGCAGAAATGAGAGTGGAGCCTGGGTTCCCTCTCCCCACCCAGCCCCTGCCTCAGAGTGGGGCTTTTCTCTGCTTTTGCTCTACCCCGTAGTTTTAACCTCCTGCTGAAGGCTTTCACTCCAGCTGTCCCCGGAGGGAGCCAGAGCTGGGGCACTGTTTCCCTTGGTGTCTGCTTTCGCCTTGGCCATTTTTTTCCTGGTGAAACTTGCCACCGGTGATCCTCGGAGGCAGTCTGGAGAGGGACCTGTAGTTCCCAAGACTGGGGAGGCCTGCGGGGCGCTGGAGGGAGGCCTTATCAGATCTGCAGCCCAGGTTAGCCTGAGTGCCAGGAGGCCTCTGGTTTGCTGCCTGGGGACAGTGATGGGAATGCCTCCTTCCACGCCAGGTTAGCTCAAAATCCAGGAAAGCCGCATTCCCCACCGCAAGTATTCTGGACCTGCCTGGCCTCTGTGGTCCCGAGAGGGACGGCGAAGGCCCTGGTCCTTGGTGGCAGTGTCTGCAGTGGTTGTGCTGGTGGTGGGAAGTAACAATGCCTGTGACCAAGTCTCTCTCAGCTATGCTTTTTAAAAAGAACATCCTTTCAGAATAGGCTGATTGGAATCTTTTTCTACATCCAGTTCAAAGGGAAAGCTGAGTAGAGGTGCATTCGGGGTCATGGGAAGGCCCTTCGAGCATAGCGAGGGCAGACGTGGAACGAGGAACCCTCTCGGTCGCCTGTTC